AACACTTTCACATTCTCTTCTCGTGTCATCTGCCACACTATCTTAAGTTCACCGTTGCATTTTCTCCAACCGAAGCTCATTGCTTTAATTGTTTCCAGCTTGTATAAACTTAGTGCATCTACTGAAAACCTATATGTTACTCTCAATTAGTGATAACAATGTATATAGATAGCATTCTTAGAGCAATAAAACATCTCAATGTGCTTCACAAGAATGTGATAAAACAAAATATGACTCTGAGCCATGCAAGGAGGTATTAGGTCAGATGACAAAAAGCTTTAGCAAATAGATTGTAAGGAATGCCTTAAAGAAGGAAAACAAGATAGAGAGGAAGACCAAGGGTATTCTCAGACTTTAATATGTGAGAAATGTAGGTGTGGCCATCAATGGTCAATAGAAATGGAGAATGCTCAAGAGGCTAGTATTACAGCAGCCCAGATATCTGGGATAGAGGAAGGCTGGAGGGAGATTACAGAAATAGGGAGCAGTGAGGTCACACAGGAATGTGAAAATAACAATAAGAATACTAAAATCAAGAAGTAGTTTGACCAGCATCAAATGTAAGTAAGCGAATACAGCAGCAATAGGCGAATGGACCTTTGTGCCAATTAAGACAAGGGCAGAATGGTTTTGAATTACCTCTGGTTTACAATGGTTTCAGTGCAGAATATGGGAGATAAGCCACAGTACAATGGAATAGTCAAGTCAAGAGGTAATGAAGACATGCATAAGATTTCAGAAGTGGGTGAGCTGAGAGGGGGGCAAAGGTGCGTAGAGGGTGTCCTAGTGATGACATGAACGCGAAAATTATTAGTCTGTTTATATTTTTGCATTATTTAGAGTATGAACAGGGGCTTGTTGCAAATGCCAGTTTGTGGAAATATACCATTCCAACACTTACATGCCATGTACCCAATTTTTATGTTTCACACAGGGAAATAGTCTGGAGAGCATTTTAGAGTAATTCAGGGTAGTTTCCAAGACAATAGAAATAGTGGTATTGATGCTGGCTTAAATAGAGACTTGGAGTGAATGTGTAATGCCAATTATTTTCAAATGTGTTTGAGGAAAGAAAAAGATGAAGTAGCGATTGTTCTGAGATTTAAATTATAGCTGTTGATCTTAGGCCCCTGTGGGAACCAAATTCATGAGAAATTCTCAATGAATAAAACACCATTATTTATTTTTAATATTGTTTTAAAAAAGATTCTGAAGATGGTTAATCTCATCAGGTCTAAACAAATGGACACAACTTTTAATATACTATTAAAATTTAACTCAAATTATTCGTTTTAAAGCGTTCACATTCAAGTTACCTTATTTGATTCAAAGTGTCATGTCTAACAGCGCAAAACAGCTTGATCTACCGTAATTCATAAAGATTTGATAGAAACTCGGCCACAATAAAAAAAAGTTTACATATGTGCTCATTCAGTAATCTATTCGAGTGTAGCACTGTTTTGTTCTTTTCTTTGCTCCATCGCCTCCAGTAGTCAATTATCAAAGTTATCCTAGAATACTTATCTTTGATTTACAACTTATAACTGTTACAACTTCTGTTTTGTCAGTTATTGGTGTAACAATTGGCAAGATCATCTTTACTGTATAGAAACTGAAGTTCCACAGGATTTTGTGGATACAAAATATTAACATTTTACAAATTTCACAGGACCCTGACAACTTCAAACATTTCAAAATAAAAAGCTGCTTCAGTTATGAGTAATTTATATAGAATGAACATTTTCTTAACATACCTAGAACAAATATTAAGACCCAAAGGTTGCGCACTCAGGTTAGACATCTAAAAGATTTGCACTTTTGGGTGGGTGGGAAAGTGGGTTTGCTTTATATGCCATTAGAACTTTTCAAAGATAAAATAAAGTTATTTAACTGTTTAAGATAATTTAATAGCATACATTGGAGCAAATATTTCTCCTGAAATCAAACATCCACAAATTAGAAATACACAGGAAGTGCCAAGTGTTTTCCCTATTGAATGGAGAGTTTTTAATTGCCTTATCTCATTTGTGCATAACCTAGTGGCCAGGTTCAAATAAATATTGCTAAAACTCCAATGGCAAGTTACTCCACTGCACAATGTATTCGGAGACTCAAGAGGAAGAGAAAAAAATGTCTCTCCTTGCACCAATTCAAAATAGTAAAAGGGGAATAGAAATATAACATTTTTAGTGTACTTACAAATACACAAATTAGGTGGAGTAGGCCATTCGGCTCAAGCCTGCTATGTCATTAAGTAAGATCACTGTAGATCTGACTGTAGCCTCAACATCATTTTCCTGTCTAACTCCTCATAGCACTTTAACCCTGTCAATCAAAAATCTAACTCAGCCCCCACTGCCCCAACTAAGTAAACTGCACAAACTAACTGTCCTCAAGAGAAGAAAATTTCTCATCTCAGCCCTAGCGACAGACCTCTTATTTTCAAGTTGTATCTCATAGTTCAAGTCTCTCCCACAAGCAACCACTGTCAAGACCCTCAGGATCTTAAATGGTTCAATAAGATTGCCTCTCATTCTTTTAGACTACAAGACGTAGGAGCAGAAGGAAGCCATTCAGCTCAAAAAGTGTCCTCTTTCATTCGAGAGATTATGGCCAATCTGATAATCCTTGACTCCACTTTCCTGGCTCCCCCGCACAATAACCCTTGATTCAATTTCTGGTTAAAATTCTATTTATCTCTGCCTTGAAAATACTTTAAGACACAGCCGCTACAGCCCTTGTGACAAAGTATTCCACAGATTTACTACCCTCAGAGACGAAATTCCTTATCTGTTTTAACGGAGTAACCTCTTGCATTGAGATTATGCCCTATGACCATAAGGCAGACCATCAGATGTAGGACCAGAATTAGGCCATTCAGCCCACCAGGTCTTCTGTGCCATTCTGTCATGGTTGATCTGTTTCCCAAACCCCATTTCCCCATATCATCCCCATAATCTTTGATCCTCTTACTACTCAAGAACTTATCGTCTTAAAAACACTCAATGACTTAGCCTCAACAACCTTCAATAACAATGAGTTCTAAACAGCCATCCCTTCACTCAGAAGGTGTGCCTCGAGTCCTAGTCTCTCCTGTTAGTGAAAACACCTTTTCCACATCCACTTTATCCAGGCCTCTCTAAGTTTTAATAAGATCCCCCACTGTCCCCCTCCAATCCTTCTAAACTTCATTGAGTAAAGACACAAAATCCTCAACCACTCCGCATATGACAAGTCCTTCATCAACAGGTTCATTATTTTAAACTTTCTCGGCTGCCCCCACCACCCCACTCCCCGCCCAACCACCCCCTCCCCCACGCACCCCTACCCCCCGCAACCCCACACCGAGGCCAGCGTATCCCTCCTTAAAAATGGGGCCCCAAACTGCTCATAATATTCCAAATGCAGTCTGAGCAGGGTCTTATACAGCCTCAGCATTACATCTCTGTCATAGAGCCATACAGCACAGAAACGTACCTTTTGGTCCAACTCGTCTGCACCAGTCATCCCAATCTGAAAAAGGCGCCAGCCTATCCAACCTCTCCTTATAACTCA